ATCGACGCCACACCCAAGCTCATCTCGTCCCACGCGGAGAGGTACCGATCCATCATTCGCTGGTCCGTCATCGGGCCGTACCCGTTCCCACCGCCCGCCGTCTGCCCGCCCGCCGCCGCCGCGTCCTGGTCGGCCTTTTGCTGCTTGATGCGGTGCAGCGTCTCGATCGCGGTGAGGACCTTGTTGAGGAAGACGTTCTGCGAGTGGTCGAACAGCTGGTCGCCCACCTTTGCCGGCGGCCGGAACCGGTTGGGCGGCACGATGACAAATTCCTGAAAGAAGGAGTCGGCGTCGAGCGATGGGTAGAGCTGGCCGAGCAGCTGCGACTCGGCCTCCCACAGCGCCGCCATCCGCTCGCGCGCATCCGTCGGGTTGAGGAAGAGGGACTTGCCCACCTGCGACGTGCCGCGCTCCGCCGTCGCCTCGTCCACCTCCATCGCCTCTGCCGCCGCCTCGTCCACCTCCTCCGCCTCCTCGTCGTCCTCCTCCTCGTCGTCGTCGTCGTCGTCGCTGCCCTCAGTGCGATTGGCGGCCACCGCCGACGCGGCGGCGGCGGTCGCCGCCACGCTCCCGTTCCGCGTCGATCGGCGGGAGCTGCTCACTGGCGCCAAGCCTGCGTTGTGAAGACACGGCCGTCGGGGTGTGAAGACAGTGCAGTGAGTCTTCACGGCATCGCGGGAAAGCAGAGAGCAGCGACGACGGTGAGAGTCCGATAGCAGCGCAATTGGATACGGTTGAGCGCGCGTCTCCTCGAGCGCTAGCGCAGGGGCGTGTCATCCACATCTAAGGGCGCCAGGCCGAGCTGCTCGTTTGCCGCGAGGGCGCGCTGCGACAGCGCGCTGACGAAGAACTTGCCACCGTGCACCTGGGGAAAGTTCGGAGCAGGCTCAGGAGAGGTGCGAGGAGGAAGAAGACTTGCCCGCCGCGCGCCTTGAGGCTGCCCGAGGCACGACCGCACCGCGTGCACTTGTTCGACGCCTAAGGTCGCCCGCCAGCTCCCGCGGGTGAGACCACCCACTTCGCACGGCGGCGAAGCGTGCGCCACGGCGGCGACAGCTGGAGCGCGGGCCAAGTAGGGTGTGTGGGCATGCGGTGGTGTCGTGTACGGCGTTCGGCGCGTCGGGTGAATGCGTGGGCCGCAAAGGCAGTCGCTACAGCGTGCATGTGTCTTCCTCGCTGCCGCTTCGCTGCAACACCGCCATCCCGAACCCCCGCATCTAACCCCCGCATCTAGGCTTGCATCTAGGCTTGCCATGCCGGCCGCAACGCGCAGGCTAGCCCCGCCAAGATCCGCTTCCGGAGGGCGATGAGGTGCGGCGACGAGGCGCAGCCTCCGGCGACGCCTGCCGAGCCGGCGGCGGCGGGGCGACGCAGCAGCGCGCACCCTGCCGCCGAGACGCCGCTCATCCACGCGCCCTCCGACTCCTCCGCCACCTGAGAGGCGCGAGAGGCGCAGAGTCGGAGGCACGCACGCGGGGCAAGAGCCTCTCGCCGTTCGCGAGGCGAGGCGCGCCTCGCCAGCCGCCCGCTGCTGGTTGTTGCCCAGCTTGGAGTTGCCGCTGACCACGGCGGCGGATTCGAGCACCTGCACACGGGGCACGGCAGCGGTCGGGGCCGCCGCGCCGCCGGACCAAGACCGACGGATGGCGCCACCGCGGCAGCATCGGTGAGGAGGCCGGCATCGAGGAGGCGCAGCGCGGCGGCGTACGGCTCGAGACGAGCACGCGGTGCACGGAAGTGGTGGCACGCCGAGCACGCGCATCGCAGGAGCTGGTGGAGGAGCGGGAAGAGCAGGTGCGTGTAGGTCGGCAGCGGCAGATCGATGTGCCCAAAGTGGCCTGGACAGAGGCCGTATTCGAGGCCGCAGGTGACACAGGTGTCCCAGTTGTCGGTCGGACCCATGCGTGCGTCGTACAGCCCGTTGGCCAGCGGTCGGTTCATCACGTCGCGCTGTCGCGACGAGGTCACTTTGCACACTGACAAGCGCTCCACCTCACGCTTGGTGTAGAAGGAGAACTTGATGCCGCATGCCTCGTGCAGCAGCGGGCCGACGCCCGAAAGCGTCGACCAGGCCGACTCTCTGTCCATTGGAGCAAATCCGCTCCAATGTCAGAGCCTCGCCAACCTCGGCACAGCGCACGGCACGGCGACGAGGCTGCCGGGCTTGCGAGTGCAGGGAGTAAAAGAATTACGCCCGTCTCACTACCTTCCACTCCCTTGTCAGGAGCAGGAGAGCCCCACCTGTCCCCCTGATCGTTCTTCCAAAATCCTGCTCGTGCAGGTGGGGACCCTGTCCTCGTCCCATCCCTCGTTTGGCGTGTCTGTTTTCTTTCTTTCTTTTTCGCCGCTGCTCAGGCCGGGGGAGGGGGGGGGACCTCCTGTTCCTCGCGGAACGGGAGCAGGCCCCTCCTTGCCCGGTCTGCGAAGCAGGGCGGTGGTCGTGCCATCTTGGCTTCACAACGAGCACGCCGCAACCGTCGCCGGCGCGCGACACGTTCCCGTCAGCAGGACTGTCCTGGTCGAGAGTGTGTGCCGCCAAGGCGGGACCACTCGGGGACAGTGCCGACGGGACGCGGCTCGAAGGGCGTGGCTCCGCAGCGCGGCTGGCACTCGTCGCAGAGGCCTCACCTTCGAAAAGTCGGGCATGGCTCCACCCGCAACTTTGTCGCTAACACGCGCGCACCGCCGAGCCTGCGGCGGGCGCGCTGCGGCCGCACGTCTACTTCGTCATAGTGCCACGACGTGCGGCCTAGATTTAGCCCACGCGCCTCTGCTCGCAAACACTCACCCATTTGATTGTCGCTGTCCGTGAGTGCGAGATTAGGGCTAGCCGCAGGCAGCTGCCCATGAGGAGGGCGTCCATAGACACCTCACTAGACCCCACATACGGTCTCGTCCGTGCCTTGCGGCCGGCGAGATTGCTAGAGGTGGAGCATGCTGCTCTAGCCTCACATGTCACTTCCTGGCGTCTGTTGTTTGTTGTGCTCTTGTTTGTTTCTCTTGGCACCTTGGAGTGCTGGGGGGGGCGACAGGGAGGATATGGCCTTGAGTTATGTGTACGCCAACTCAGGGTGTGTGGCAGCCAGCTGGCTGTGTGTCTTGTGAGCCTTTTGTGTCTGTGTGTCGCTCGTGCGTGTCGTCATCATCTGTCTAGCGTCCACCCATACCGCGTTGGTGTCCAGTCCGAGCCTGGCTGTTCTTCACCTTTCTACCTACCTACCTACGTGGTACCAAAGATGCACTATGTGCTGGAGATCAGTAACCAGCCGGCGGGTCGACCCATCCAAACCCGAGTACGACCCTCCACAAGTGCTATTAGTACTGTGGTTTTTTGTTACGACCCTCCCAAAATTCCACAAGTGCAATAAAGCACGAACCCACGCAAAGAAAGATTGACACGATGATCGATTCGTCGCTGGCTCCCACTGACTGGAGTGACGGGCACCGTCAACCATTGAAGACGCCGTGTCGATGAGCTTCTAACTCGATCGCGTTCTCGAGATACAGCTTGAGATGTGCGAGTTGGAGTGGCCTCACGGAGTCGGCGCCGCCGCTCGGCGCTCTTCTGCTTGTTTGGCGATCCAGCGCTGCTCGTCCAGACAGAGGCTGCCTCCACTCCTGAGCTGCTCAGGCCTGGTCAAGGCCATCCACCGGCATGCTCTGGGAGCGCGGATGCACACCAGCTCGCGCTGCTGGACCCACGGCGGCTGCCTTCGGCCACCGGCAGCGCCGGTGCGACGACATGCTGGCGGCGGTCTTCCGCAAACTACTGTCAGGCGAGTGCACGACGAGATATGATCATGGGCGCTCGCATGTGTGCTCAGGGCTCCTCAGGGCTGCTGCGTGACGCGTGGCTCGGCTCCGCGAGCGCTTGTGAATTTTCTGTGATTTTTTTGTACTAATAGCACTTGTGGAGTGGTACTCGGTCTATACTCCATACACATACACAAAGCAACTCTCACGACGGGCACCGGGTGGAGCGGCGGCGGCGGCGGCAGCAGCACGCGCGGGCGGACGGATTCGGACGGGGCGGAGCAGCGACCGCCTGGGCGGCCGCTGCTCTGTGTCTGCCTGACGGCTCTGCGCAGCTCGAGCGCGGTCAGGTGCAGGGAGGCGTGGCGGCGCGGGGAAGCGCGGCGGCGGTGGCGAGCAGGCGAGCGGCCCGCGCGCGGCGAGGCGGACAGGTGATCGGCAGGCGGGTGATGGGCCGGAGAGTGACCGCGCCCAGCGATCGGAGACGAGCCGATCGTCGCTCGGCCGCAGCTGACCTCGAAGGCGTGCGGAGCGCGACTGTTGGTGTCGGGGGGCGGCCATCATGTGGCGAGGAGGGAGGACGACAAGTGCGCATCGTACGGGTCGCTCTTCACCGGGCAGTCGAGCGGCACTCAAGTCGAGACCGAAGCAAAGCATGACGGGTTTAGCCAGGCACTTCGAACGCCCGTGATGCCGTGAATCTGCTTTGGCGCCAAAGCGTGTGACGAGTTTTGCCACGAAAAAATGTGAAGAAGTAAAATCGCAACATAGGTAACTGGGTGGCCAAATTCACATAAACGCAAATTCACACCTCGCGCGACTACGTATGTTTTTTGTAAATGTACGACTTCCGACAGGTTCGGCACCGGGCACCGCCTCGGTATACAAAATGCGCCTGCGGGCGGACCCTTACAGATCACAGATCACTATGTAGTCGTGGCCCCCGCTACGTCGCACGAGTGCAACCGGGTAGCGCGGGGGGGGGGGCTAGAAATACCAACATTTGCCGCGCACAGGACTGGCGCGCGCTGGCACGGACACAAGTAGAAGTACACCTCACACGGGAGCCGCCTAAGGCTAAGCGACTCCTGCGAGGGCGGCGAGGCACTTAGCTCCGTGCACTCGATCGCCCTCGCCGCAAGCAAGCCCATTGACAATCCGTCCGCGAGGAGAACCACCGAGATACGCTGCTTTTGCAGCCCAAAACAAGTCTTGGTGGTTCAAGTCACCTCCCTGGGGACGATGGCACGCAGTTCTCCCTAAGGCGGCGGGCCGCCGCCGGGAGCTTAGAGCATCGCCGAGCCCGCACCGCCGGCCTCAGCTGCCACCGAGGATGGCGATGGCGATGGCTTGCGCGCCTGAAGAAGTGAGAGACATGCCTCCCAGTGAACCCCGTGCGCGTGCCAGCCGCCCCTCCCTCTCCTCTCTAGCCCCCCCCTCCTGCTTAGCCACCGCGAGCAAGAGGAGGAGCGCGGCGAAGGCCGCGACGCCTACAAGTGTCCAGCAAATGCTCGAGCAACTTTGTGCGGTGGACGAGAGAGCCAGTTGAGTTCGGGATCCCCTAACTGCGGATGCGGGTGCAAGTGTGATAGATGGGTGGCGTATGGCGCGCGAGCCGATTGCGAGCCGAAACCAGGCCGAATTCGCGGTGAGGGCATCAAGCGAGAAGCCGGTCGAGAGGATGGCGGCCGGCTCGACAAGGAGCGAGTAGTACGTGTGGGAGAGGCCCTGTGCGCTTGTGTGGGTGATGGCCTTGCGCGGTCCCGTCCTGGTAGAGGAGCAGCCCGCCTGCCGTGGAAAATGCGACGGAATCAGAGGGGAGGGTAAGCCGCACCTGGAAATCGGGGTTTCACCAGCGTCGAAGTGATGTGGCCAACGTCTTCGGCGTCAGCGTGGACACATTTCGCAACGCATGCCTCCTGCGAGGCCGTGTAGAATAAATGATAGCCGCAGTCGCGCCATCGCAACGCTGCCTGGCGTTTCTCTTGCCAGACGCAGTTGAGAGGAGCTTTGGCGCACGACTCACAGGAGGAGTACTTTTCGCACTGGCGGGCCTTCCAGTCGGACTGCCAACCAGCTCCCAGCACGGGCAAGGAAAAAAGGAGCGCCATAGTGTGATTGCGGCGCTGGCAAACCGGCAGCACAGGGGGGTGCAGCTCAGTCGCCTTTCTTTTTACGTGGTGGGATTATCTTTTTATCTTTTTATCTTTCGAGGTTCTAGAGGTGGATTTCCTTTGGCCGCGTTGGGTACCTTTCGAGGTAGCGAGGATTGGTGTAACCCGAGCCACGGAGGCGTGTTTTCTGACGGCCGACCGTCAGTCAGTGCACGGAGTTGCCCCTTCTCCGACTTTTTATCCGACTTTTTATCTATATCTACGGGACCAAAGAGGAGGAGGGCGCGAACCAAAGAGGAGGAGGAGGGAGGAGAGGAGGGCACGAACACAGGTACAACGAGAATTACCCATCCGCACAACACTGGGCACGGGACAGGCGCGCGCTGGCACTACAAGGCTGGTACAGGAGACGATCCAGGCAGGACTCCCGTCCGCATGCAGAGGAGAGAGAGAGAGAGAGAGATTGTTGTTTTTGTGTTGTTCGCATGCATGCGGAATCGACCCTATCCCAGTGCAACACTGACCCCAACACGGGAGCCGCCAACCGCTATGTATCTACATCTCGTCCCCGTCCTCCCTCGATCGAATCTCCCTAGAAATCTCCTCGATCGACACTCGAGCATATGACCTCTAGAGGCAGCCCGCGCACACTCGCTCGTATGAGACGACACCCGATCGAGCGAGGACGAGGGAGATCAAAAAATGCGCCAAAGTATTCAGAGGGGTAGCGGCGGTCGACGTCTTTCCGCGTCTCTACCTCTGTTGCTTGCACGACCTTACGTTAGACGACGAGGATGGCGTCGGGGAGGAGGAGGAGGACTCAGACAACTCGGATAACGAAGAACGACTCTGAGTACGAGGGTCGAGGGAGGGGATGGAGACGTCTACTCGGGCTCTGCGGAAATATTGGATTCCAACTGGAATGCGAACATGTGATCCGAGGATCTATCTGGCATGAGGGCGAGCACGACTTTACAAAGCGCCACCTTTGGCGCGCAGTCGCCATTCGTCAGCTGCAGTGGGCGCGCATCGGAGAGGAGTGACGAGGTCATGTGTTTGGCGCGGTGCGCACTGGGTTGCCTAACGCTAGGAGCTGAACAGTGTTGCTAGTGTTAACAGTAACAACAGAACAACAGTGGGGCTCCCCAA